AGCAGCAGCAGCAGCAGCAGCAGCAGCAGCGGGCGTGGGCACGCAGCAGCAGCCCGCGGCCGTCCCCGCAGGGGGCGCCAAAGCGCGACCGCAGAAAGACCCCACACCCAGTTCCCCCGAGCGCAGTCACAGCAGCAGCAGAAGCAGCAGAAGCAGCAGAAGCAGCAGCAGGAGCAGCAGCAGCAGCAGCAACAGTAGCAGCAGCGTACCTGTGGTGATGAACCAGTAGAAGCGCTCGAACCAGAAGGGCTTGCGGAGCTTTTTGATCTCCTGCTGCTGCTGCTGGGGCTTGGGCCCCTTGGCGTGCTGCTGCTGCTTGCGGGTTTTGCCCGCTGCAGCAGCAGCAGAAGCAGCAGCAACAGCAAGCGCCATTTGCTGCTCCGTCTTTATCTCCTTTTGCCGCGAGGCCTTTCGCTGCGAATGCAAAGCCTCAACATTTCCAAAAGCAGAAAGAGACAAGTCCACAGGGACCAGCACCAGCTCCTGCTGCTCCTGCTGCTCCTGCTGCTCCTGCTGCTGCTGCTGGTCTGCTGCAGCAGGCGGCGGCAGCAGCAGCAAAGCCTCGTTCTTCTCCAAAGAAAGCTTGTGGATGTGAGCAGCAATTGGGTGGCCTCTGCGCTGCTGCTCCTTCAGGTGTACATGCAGCTCCCCCCAAGAAGCACCAGCAGCAACAGCAGCACGCAGCAGCAGCAGCACGTCGTCAACCAGCTGTAGGTTTGCTTCGATTGCTGCGGACTGCTGCTGCAGCAGCTGCTGCTGCTGCTGCAGCTGCTGCAGCCGCTGCTGCTGGTCCTGCTGGATCTTCTCCACGCGGCTCAAAGCAGCAGTTTGCTGCTGCTGCTGCTGCTGCTGCTGCTGCTTCATGTCTCCTGCAGCTATGTAGTCATCTACGCAGCAGCTAAATGTGCGGTACCAGAGAGCCACGACAGTTCCTGCTGCTTCTGCTGCTGTTGCTGCGGGGCCGGTTGCTGCTGCTGCTGCTGCGGCCGCGGAGGCAGCTGCTGCTGTCGCAGCAGACGCAGTGCCAGCAGCAGCAGCTGCTGCTGCTGCTGCTTCCGCTGCTGCTGCTTCGTCCCGTTTCTGCTGCTCAGGGGCTTTCAGCACCGGCAAGTTTGCGTGCTGCTGCAGCAGCACAGGAGTGAACTCCAGCATCTCATAAGGCTGCTGCTGCTGCTGCTGCTGCTGTTGCTGTTGCTGCTGCTGCTCCCCGCCCTCCACGCTTGCTGCTTCTGACTCTGCTGCCTCCGCCGCTGCTGCAGTGCGGCAAGCTATTATATACCCTTGGCGCTCGCGAGCCCGCTGCTGCTGCTGCTGCTGCTGTTCTTGCTGCTGCTGGTCTTGCTGCTCTTCTCCTAAGTAGTCGCCAGGCCCGCTAACATCAGCTAGCTGCGCGTACACCCGGAAGCAGCAGACCTCAAACCCTAAACCCTAAACCCTAAGTCCTAGACCCTAAACCCTAAACCCTAGCCCCTTACTGCGGCCGGCTGAGCCACTACAAGCAGCAAAGCAGCAGTAGCAGCAGCAGCAGCAGCAGCAGCAACGCACCGCTTTGATGGCTTCATGTACGGCTGCGGCGAACTGCGGAGCAGCAGCAGCAGCTGCTGCAGCAGCTTCTGCTGGTTCTGCTGGCAGCTTTTGCTGCGCCTTGAGCCCGTGCTGCAGCAGGCAGTGCTGCTGCAGCGCGGGGTGTGAGAAGCAGACGACTTTGGCGAAGAGCTGGCCCCAGGTGAGCTGCTTCTGTTTCTGCTGCTGCTGCTGCTGCTGCTGGTGCTGCTGCAGCAGCTGCTGCAGCAGCGCAGCAGTGTATTCCGGGGTGAAGGCTGCCGGGCTGCGGCCCTCGAGCAGCAGCGAAGCAGCAGGAGAGGGGGGAACGTAGTGGCTGCCGACGGCGACCCTGATGACCTGCTGCTGCTGCTGCTGCTGCTCCTGCTGCTCCTGCTGCTCCCGCTGCTGCTCCTGCTGCTGCTCCTGCTGCTGCAGCAGCGAGTGGGTCCTGAGGACAGCCATGATGAGGCTGCTGCTGCTGTCTGCAACAATTAAGTTTCCGGAGACATACATTTCGAGGTAAAGGGCGAGGCGCTCGTTGGCGCTCTGCAGCAGCAGCAGCAGCACGCGGTCTGCGCCCATTTGCTGCAGCAGCAGCAGCCGCTTGCCCCGCAGCAGCTTCCGCAGCCGCATGCAGAAGGCCGAGGGCAGCGCGTCTTTGCTGCGCTTCCACTCGGTGAGGCAGAAGCCGACGCCGGGCTGCAGCAGCAGCTGCTGCTTCTCCTGCTGCTGCTGCTGCTGCTGCTGCTGCTGCTGCTGCTGCTTTGCTGCTGCAGAAACCCCACACAGCTTCAGCACAAACCTGTGGCTGCATGCACCCCCCCCAAAACCCCACACTCTGCAGTCATAAATGTTGCTGACCCTCAGGCCTTCGCACAGCGGCTTGATGCTGCTGCACATGGCCCGAATGTCCAGCGCGCTCATCCGCTGCTTCCGCTGCTGCTGCTGCTGCTGCTGCTGCTGCTGCTGCGGCTGCGGGGGCTGCTGCGGAGCGGGCGGCGGCGGCCCCGGCGGCTGCGCCGGAGGGCCTTCGGCGGGCCACGAACCCGCAGCGGGAGCTGCTGCTGCCCCCCCTGCTGCTGCTGCTGCTGCTGCTGCAGCAGACTCCGAGGGAACGCCAGCCATTCTACAGATGCTCAAACTGACAGAGGCGCTGTGCTGCTGCTGCTGCTGCTGCTGCTGCTGGTGTGCTTCGGGGAGCTGCGTCGATGGACTGTGCGTGTGAGTGCGTGCTCCGCAGCAGGGGCAAGCTCATGCTGCTGCTGCTGCTGCTGCTGTTTTTGTTGCCGCTGCTGCTGCTCCGCGAGCTGCAGCTGCCTCTTTTGTTGCTATTGCTGCTGCTGCTGCTGCTGCCTCTCAAATGCAGTCACAGAGAGGCTCCTGCAGCGCGTGCTGCGCTGTTACCCCTGTGCGGAGCGTGGCTGCTGCTGCTGCTGCTTCAGCTGCTGCTGCCTTGCACACAAGCTGCTGCTGTGGCCGCTGCGGCCGCTGCTGCTGCTGCGTTGTTGCCGTTGCTGCTGCTGCTGCTGCCGCTGCTGCAACACGCCAAGGCGGGGGAAGCGCCAAACCTCGTGCTGCTGCTGCTGCTACTCCTAGAGATTGGTTCTGCTGTCAACAATAAGTTTGCTGCTGCTGTTGCTGCAGCACGCTACGCTCTACAGCCGCCGTAACGAGCCAGCTGGAGCAGCAGCAACAGCAGTGGCAGCGGCAGCAGCAGCAGCTCTGCCCCTGAATGCCCAAGCCAGCATAAACAGAGCTGAGATGTATGTACACCCTGCAGTGCGGATATCCGTGCTGCTGCTGCAGCAAATCTTGAGAGAGAAAGAACGAAGGAGAGTGAACAATGCCACCGGGCAGCAGCAGCAGCAGCTGCCGCTGCTGCTGCTGCTGCTGCTGGTCTTGCTACTGTTGTTGCTGCAGTCAGTGCTGCAGCAACTGCTGTCCGTTGGAGCAGCAAAAGTAATTCCAACTTTTTTTCCGCTGCACTAACGGGGGTGTTGTGATCGCAGCTGCAGCAGCAGCAACAGCAGCAGGGGCGGCAGCAGCAGCAGCAACAGCGAGCGCCCATGCTGCTGCTGGGCATCACACCTGCTGCCAGCAGCAGCCACAGCAGCAGCAGTGGCAGCAGCAGCCAGCCGCTCTGCAGTTTCGGGGCTGCTGCTACTTCTGCTACACCTCAACTTTTCCTTTTTGCTGCTAAGAGTTTTAAAAGCAAATTTAAACTCAAGCGGAGTTGGCTTGTTAGAGAAACAGCAGCAGTATCCGCAGCAGCAGCAGCGGCAGCAGCAGCAGTGGGGTGGCAGCTGAGGCAGGGGGTCCTTCAGAAGCAGCAGCAGCAAATTTTAAGGACTTCTTCGGGCGGTGTCTTGGCCTTCTGAGCTCTGCTGTGGCTGCTGCTGCTGCCACTGCTGCTGCTGCTGCAGCAAGTGCAGCAAGTGCAGCAACAAGAGCAGCAAGCTGGGACAGCTGCTGCTGCGTTTCTTGCTACCGCTGGGCCCGCTGGCTCTGACGCTGCTGCGATGGAGCCAGAAGCTGCAGAACCAGCAGCAGCAGCAGCTGCTGCTGCTGCTGCAGCAGCAGCAGGAACAGAGGAGGGTCTGCTGCCTTTCGGGTGGGGGTTGTCTTTGCTGCTGGCTGCTGAGCTCTCCGTCCTTTTTGCCATTATTATTTCCTTCTGCGTATGCAAGAAGGGGGTCCCGCAGGTATGCTGCTGCTGCTGCTGCTGCAGTTGCTTCTGCTGCCGCTGCTGCTGCTGCAGTTGCTTCCGTTGCCGTTGTTGCTCTTGCTGCTGCTGCTGCTGCTGCGTTTCTGTGCACCGCTGCTGCAGCCACCGGGCTTCCCGCGGAGGCCGTGCTGCCCCTTGCAACAGCCCGCGCGTGTGTCCGCTGCTGCTGCTGCTGCTGCTGCTGCAGGCAGGCGTGGGGTCTTTGCTGCAGTTCATTGGGGGCGGCAGCGACAGCTGGCTGCGGCTGTCTTTGTCTTTCTTTGCATGCTCTGTGGGGTCTTGGATTATCTTTTTGCCTCCAGCTTTGAGTTGGGAAGCAAAGTCAATTGTTATTTGCTGCTTGTATGCTGCTGCTGCTGCTGCTTCCCCGCTGCTGCTGGGGCTGCTCGCCCCCAAGGTGCAGGCTGCGCTCCGAGACCTCAAGCAGCAGCAGCAGCAGCAGCAGCTGCTGCTGCTGCAGCAGCAGAAAGAACGCAAGCGTCTCCTCCTTACGGCCAGGAACAGGCTTAGAGATGCACGCAAGCAGCAGCAGCAGCAGCAGCAGCAGCAAGAACAGCAGCAGCAGCAGCAGCAGAAAGAGCTGGAGCTCGCGGGCACCCTAATGGCTACTACCGCCAGCAGCTGCTGCCTTACCGCCGTCGAGCTGCAGCAGCAGCAGCAAGAGGAGCAGGAGGAGCAGCGGCAAAAGCAGCAGCAGCCCGAAGAGGAGCAGCAGCAGCAGCAAGAGGAGCAGCAGCAGCAGCAGCAAGAAGAGCAGAAGCAGCAGCAGCAGCAGCAAGAAAAACAGCAGGATAGTGAGGGCGAAGCTCCTCTTGAGGTGCAGCAGCGGCAGGATTTTGGCCTAGTGGAGTTTGTGCTACTGTAAGTAGCCCTTGCTGCTGCTGCTGTGCTGCTGCTGCTGCTGTGCTGCTGCTGCTGCTGCTGTGCTGCTGCTGCTGTGCTGCTGCTGCTGCTTTTGCTGCTGCTGCTGTTTCTTGAGCTTCTGGTCTTTTGAAATATCTACTGAATCATCCTTAATTGTTTCTTTTATTTCTTTTTTATTTTTATTTCTTTTTCATTTTTATTTTGAAATTGTTTTTGCTGCTTGCAGCCGCTTTGGGCGTCTCCACCACGTGTGTCTGTCTGCTGCTGCTGCGCTGTCGATGCTGCTGTCAGCAGCAGGAGAAGCAGCATTTGTTGCTGCTGCAGCACAGCTGCTGTGCCCCTCTTTGCCTGCTGCTGCAGTGTCGGGGAGTGTGCAGTTTGCTGCTTTTATTTATTCGTTTTTGTTTGGCTACAGAGCTTCTCGCTTCACGGACCTGCTGCAGCTGCCGCTGCTGCTGCTGCTGCTGCTGCTGCTGCTGCCGTACGCGGTGCACGCAGCAGCAGCAGCAGCAGCAGCAGGCACGCTGCAGCCCCTGCTGCACTGCAACACAAATGGACTTGTTGCAGGACTTGTTATGCTGCTGTCTTATCCTCCAGCTTATATAATAGACCAAGCAGTTTGGGCGCGGGCTGGGAGAGCAAAGACGCAGCAGCAGCTGCAGCAGGCTGTTGCTGCTGCTGCTGCTGCAGTGGCGCCGGTGCTGCTGTTCGTGGGCTTCACGGGCGTGGTGGCTGCTGCTGCCTTCGAGCGGCAGACGGCGGCGGCAGCAGCAGCAGCAGGCTCTGCTGCGGAAGCAGCAGCAGCAGCAGAAGCAGCAGAAGCAGCAGCAGCGGCCGTCGGCAGGGCGCCCCTCTTCTCGCTCTTCAGCAGCAGCAGCAGCAGCAACTTGCTGCTCTCCTCCTTCGTTTTTGCTGCTGCTGCGCTGCTGGCCCTGAGCTCCGCAGACGCAGCACAGAATGCTTTGCCGTGGATCATTGCAGCAGACATCCTGGGCAGGCACATGCCCCCCAGCAGCAGCAGCAGCAGCAGCAGCAGCAGCAGGGGGGAGAAGGCGCTGCGGGCGTACCGCTTCTGGGGCTTTTTGCTGCTGCAGCTGCCTTGTTTGCTGCTGGCAATTAGCTGGAGCGACAACTTAGTGGTTTTGTTTCTAGTTTCGAACTTTGTGTCTGCTGCTGTGCTGCCGCCGCTGCTGCTGGGGCTGCGCAGCAGCACGACAGCAGCAGCAGCAGCAGTGGGCATGCTCTGCGGTGTACTGACAGTGCCCCTCTGCGGCTTCATTTGCATGCGCTCTTTTGCTGCTGCTTATCTGTGGTTTGTTGTGCCTTGGGGGGTTTCGCATGCAGCAACTGCTGCTACTTTTGCTGCTGTTCCTGCTGCTGCTGCTGCTGCCACCCTCGCCTGGTCCTGGGCCTTCCCCTGCCGCAGCAAAGCAGCAGCAGCAGCAGCAGCAGCAGCAGCAGCAGCAGCAGCGCCAGCAGCAGACACGGCAGCAGCAGACGCCCAAGCGGCGCCCGCCGTTAAGCTCGACATACACTCCGAACCAGAAAATGAACAGCAGCAGCAGCAGCAGCAGCAGTAGCAGCAGCAGCACGGAAGTCGACTGCTGGTGCTGCAGGAGACCGATTCGCAGAACCGCAGGTACAGAAGCAGCAGCAGCAGCAGCAGCGCTGCGGCGTCTCCGCAGCAGCAGCTGCAGCTAGCTGTGGCTAGCCAGTCTAGCTAGCCAGCGCTTTTATGGTGGCCGCAGAGTGTTGCTGCTGCCGGTGCTGCAGCAGCAAGAGCCGTGGGCCAGCAGCAGCGGCAACGCGCGCAGCAGCAGCAGCAGCAGCGGCTGCAGCAGCAACAGCAGCCGCAGCAGCAGCAGCGGCTGCAGCAGCAGCAGCGGCGGCAGCAGCTGCGGCGGTAGCAGCTGCTTTTGCTGCTGCATCTGCTGCTGCTGCTGCTGCAGCATATGGCTTTAGATCTACTGCTGCTGCTGCTCCTAGAGATTTGGCCGAGGCAGATTTGCTGCCAGCAACTTTGGTGCGTTGGGGTGTACGTACACCTCAGCGGCCTTCCCTTCTTTTGACTCCCAAAAGGGAGACAGGGACAAGCCCTTTTGCCCAATTGTTTATGGCCCTGCTGCTGCTGCTTCTGCTGCTGCTGCTTCTGCTGCTGCTGCTTCTGCTGCTGCTGCTTCTGCTGCTGCTGCTTCTGCTGGTGCTGCTGCTACTTCTGGTGCTGCTACTTGTGCCGCTGCTGCTGCTACTCGTGGTGCTGCTACTTGTGCTGCTGCTACTGTTGGTACTTCTGCTACTGCTAGTTCTGCTGCTGCTGCTGCTGCTGCCACCCGTGTTGCTGCTGCAGCTGCTACTCGTGTTGCTGCCGTAGCTGCTACTCGTGTTGCTGTTGCAGCTGCTACTCGTGTTGCTGCTGCAGCTGCTACTCGTGTTGCTGCTGCTGCTAGGCGTGCTGCCTCTGCTGCTGCTGCTGGGCGTGCTGCTGCTGTCGATGCTAGCTGTGCCGGTGCTGCTGCATGTGCTTCTTGTGCGGCTGCAGCAGCGTGTGCTACTGCTGCTGCTTGTTCTGCTGCTACTGGCTCTGGGAAGGCAGCACAGACGAACGGTATACTTATATTTGTTAAGACTGCGACGCTGCTGCTGCTGCTGCTGCTGCTGTCCTGCGGTGTGGCTGGGGCGAGTTCTTCAGCAGCAAAAGGCTGTCTGGGGATATTTAAATAATTTAATTTAATTAATTTTATTTAAATTGACTCGAAAAGAAGACAAGTAGCTGCAAATCAGGCAGCGCGCGCCTGCTGCCTGCTGTGGTCTGGTCTGGTCTGTCTTGCCAGCTGCAGCAGCAGCAGCAGCAGCTGCTGGTGCTGCTGCTCTCCTTGGTGGGCTCAATGACAATCAACTGAAATATAAACTGATTGCCTACTAAATTTCAGTGAAGGGAGCGAGCAGCAAGAGCGGCACAGCCAAGAACCTGAAGTGCTGCTGCTGCTGCAGCTCCTGGTGCTGCTGCTGCTGCTGCTGCTGGGCAATGGCTCAGTCAACTCTGAGTGCAGCAGCAGCAGTAGTATTGACACAAGTTTCTCCAAGACACCAGGCTTCTCGGATATTTCCCTCCTGCAGCAGCAGCTGCTGCTGCTGCCACTGCTGCTGCTGCTGCTCAAGGACAGTGTGCTGCGGCAGCGTGGGGTGCGTTTTCATCTGCAAAGCAGCGAGCCAGCGGCCGCCGCCGCAGCAGCAGCAAGGTAAGCAGCAGCAGCAACAGCAGTGGCAGCAGCATCTGTGGCGCCCGCAGCATAGGCACCAACAACAGTCTTAGCAGCAGCAGCACCTGTAGCTGCAGCAGCAGCAGCAGCAGCGATGGGGTTCTCGCTGCTGCTGGGCGTTTGCCTCAGTTGCTGCGGCGCCTGCTGCTCCGCAGTGGGCCAAGTGATGCTGCGGAAGACATTCATGCCTCCCAAGAGAGCAGCAGCAGCAGCAGCAGCAGCAGCAGAAGCAGCAGCACCTGCCGCAGCAGCAGCAGGGCCAGCAGAAGCAGCAGCAGCAGCAGAAGAACCTGCAGCAGCAGGATCACAGCGGGCGCTGCCTTCGTCCCCGTTCCTTTCTCCGCGCGGCTCTGCTGCTGGCTCTGCTGCTGCTGCTGCTGCTCCTGCTGCAGCAGCAGCAGCAGCGCCGTGCTGCTGCAGCTGCGTGCGCATGCAAAAGGCAGCAGCGCTGCTGCTGGTGTCTCTCTTTTGCCCCCTCTTTTCGATTTCTGGTGCTGCTCTTTTGCCTGCAAGTGTTTCGGGTTTTGGGGCGCTGCAGCTGCTGCTGCTGCTGCTGCTGTCCAGAAGCATTCTCAGCGAGACTGTCCCCGCCCTCCACGCTGCAGGTCCAAACCCTAAACCCTAAACCCTAAACCCTAA